TAGTAGAAAAAGGTAGGTTAAGAGCGTCTGAGTATGGCAATTCCCTAGCAGGAGCCCGTTCGAAATTATGTGGAGCATGATCGTTTTTTGATTTAGACTGGTAATAATTAGCAAGAGCATCTGCTATTAATTTATTATCATTAATGATTAGATTTCCCAGCTTTATTGCAGGTATTTTATGCTTTGTGTATTAACCTTGCATTTGTCTTAGTCCAGACCTGTTTTGCAGATGGAGTAGTACTAACATAAGCTTTCCAAGAATTCTTCTTACTATCTTTAAAAATTCGCCTAGATATAGCTCTAAGTCTTTTAAATTCTTTATAATCATGTTGCGTTCTAGTTCTACGATACTTATTCAAAGCAGTCTTAGATGCTCATTCTGCTGAGCTGCAACTTTCATTCCATCATGGTATACTGTTTTCCTGGTAGAAGTAATGTAATATTTGCCTATGTACTTTTGTGCTGAAGTTATCATAAAACTTATAAACTGTTCATTGGCTAGATTGATATCATTTGAGTAAACTAGATTATCGGTTTGCATTTGCGTAAATTTTCCAAAATTATCCCAATCAGCAGTTTTGATTTTCCATTTCGAAATAATGTTGTCTGACGTAGGACGTAGGAGCGTCACTAGCAATTACAATTCGACAATGATTACTATCATGCCAACTGAGCTGTGACGTTGTTTCTGAGTCGGCAAAACTCAAATCAAACGAAGAGAAAGTTGCGAATAATATATTAAAGTGTGCTTCGTCCTGTATCCAAGAGACAAAGGGTATTTTCATTTGACCAGTTTTCAACGATTCTACCTTTCTTATTAGTACTTTCTGAACCCATATATTATTGCGAGCATTGAATGATTGAAGACACCTGTAATTATAAATGATGAAGGTAGCTGACTATGTAAATTTTCTAATTGTTCTCTAGTTACAATATAATCAAGGAATATGTACTTAAAGATTATGAATGGAGATCAATATTGGATACCATACGTTGACAGCAATCACTAAGTGATCGGTATAATAAATAAAATCTTGTGAAAAAATGTCATCATATATGTACAAAGATTAGAAAACTAGAAAACATTCCAAACATCAACTTTTTCAAACATTCATGCGAAAATGCGTTATGAGACATTTGAATTATTAAACTCAAAATCCGGTTGTTAAAAATTTGAACTTTATTGTTAAGTCCATAGAAAGTGAAAGGCGATTGATAGGAAGGCGAACTTGAAAATGCCCACCAAAATTCAGAGAATGGCAGCACTCGGTAAAACGGGAGCAGAAAGAAGCACACCGCAGGCGGCCTTAGAGGTTATGCTAAATCTGCTGCCAGTAGATTTGTTCATAAGAGGCACAGCTACAAAGGGAGCTCTAAGGGTTAAGGTCGGTATTTCAATGCCACCAAGTACAGAACAACGTTAAGTCATCCTTAATACAATTTTCACCTTGGGTCAAGGTGGATCTTAAGCCACCTGAATGAACTGATTTCAAGTTCACCTGAAACACGCGATTTATCTATTCATCACAACCAACGATCAAACTGTTGATGGATAGACACAACCATGACGCAGCTGCACATCAGAAGATGGAGCAATGGCAATTACTGCGTAACATCACGAGCATTGTGACCGTACGTGGATATAGAGAAAACCAGAAACGCCTACATCACCTGGGGCAAAAATTCCTGGAGAACTTGGAAGACGCGGAAAAGAGAGGGATAGTGAAAATACTGAACTTCGTAAAAATCATGCACAAAACGAAGAAAGGAGGAACTAGTTGAAGATTTGGGAGGAAACCACTCTAAAGAAGGGATCACAATGGGCCAATGGGCCTCCGAATATAAGCTACAGTTGTAGGGCAAACCCTTTGAAACCTAACCTAATTAATCTAACCTAATTCCATGGGAGTATCTTTTTCCAAAATCTCAAGTTGATCAAAATTAGAAAAGATCTCAAAAATCAACTTCAAACATTCAAAGGAAATGCATTATGAGACATTTGAATTTTTATCTCAAAATCTGATAATGATAAAAATTTGAAATTTTTTGAGCCTATAGAATAGTATAGAAGAAGGTAGGGGTATCTTTTACCATAATCTCAAGTTGGTCCCTTGAAAATTAACAAAGATTGGCCATTCGGCACAAAATTAGCAGAATCGGAGAATTCAATTTATTGAATCAGGGATCAAAGTGATTGTTTTTACTTAAGGTTTACACATAATTTGGAGCCTCCGAAATTTATTATTTTAATTATCATTATTACTTAAGCAATAAAGCGGATAAATCGATGTGTTATTGCTTTCGACCATGTTATTGCTCTATTTTTAATTGTGGTTGTTTTTAATGTTCATGGTTAACTATTTAAAAGCTAAATTATTAAATAAATTGATTATTTAATGACTGCAGTTCATTGTGTAGTCTATTCATAAATGCGTTTACACTTGAAGTTGTTACTGTTTATTCCTTGAGCGAGTTCCACTTATATACCACCCGATTAGATATAAAGTTATTTTTTGATCAGCAGCTGACTCCTTTCTTTGTATATTTTTCTTGAATGTTCCCGTAGATCCCTTTTTTCATTTAGATGAAATCATGAAAGTTCAATTAATGGGCTAGTAGCCTGAAAGAGTTTTGAAAACCTGGATCATGTCCGCACGTTCCCGTCTTTCTTTTTGAGATGTAATCTGGAATGATCCTAATCTCTCTGGATAATGATAAAAGTCTGGTTTCATCAGAAATTCTTGTCATTCTTCTCTAGACTGTTTCAAGGATTTCGATACCTTTAACAAAGCATGGACTTCACACTCAACTGACTTACTCTATTTTTGGACGAACATAGGTTTTGTAAAGTTTGGATACCATTTCTACTGAGAAACCTATTACAAAACACTCGTTGTATAAGTTAAATGAGTGTATTTGCTTTCTTAACAATATTTGCAATGTGAGGTTTCCCTTTTAAATCATTACTGACTAAAACTCCAAGATCTTTTTGCTGTTCCACATTTCAATCAAAGAATACTTAAGCTGATACTGAGTGTGAGGACTGCTTTTTTCCCAGATGAAGAACTGTACACTTGTTAGACTTAAGGGCAGCATCCATTTTCTATTCTATTCCATGTATTACTCTTAAATCTTCATCGATCTGATGAGGGTTGCCAAACAATTTTATGTCGTCAGTAAAGTAAGCTATAGACGATATTACCTTAGATGATAAATCCCTAATAAAAGTTATGAACACTAATTGCCCCAACACTGAATCTTAAGGAACACCGCTACACACATTATGACTAGATGAAAGTATGTTTTGGCACGGACCACATACCTATACGTTCTGTTTTGAAGAAAACCAGCTATCCGACCATTGCAAAAGTTCACTACATACCCCAAAATAATCCGACTTGTACAAGGCCCTTTTATATTAGGTACCTACTGTGTCGAACTCTTTTTCGTAATCCAAATAAATAACATCAACTGGCAGTCCGTTCTCTACATCTTGGTCCAATTGTTTAAACATGAAAATAAATTTGTAGCTGTTGATCTTTAGGTATAGCAGGAAACCATGCTGGCTGTTTGGTATAACATTGTTCTCCAGCAAAAAGGATGTTAATTCTTCAGCAACTGGTTTTTCCATTCTCTTACAAAAAGCACAAGTGAGGCTAATTCGCCTAAAGTTTTCTGGATTGAACTTGTCGCCCTTGTTATACAGCGGAGTGACAATCGCCTAAGACCCAATCTCCAGAAATATGCCATTCTGTAAAGAATCGTTCATAGCCACTGATAAAGGTTCACTAAGATAATCAGCTCATCTCGACAAGAAGACAGCTGAAATTAAATCCAGCCCTGGACTAGCATCTTTCTCTACATTCAGTCATTATTTCTGGTGAGAAATGAGAGGTTCTTATTTCATTAATTGGCCTAGTATTCAATGGCAAGCTGGGGAAATCATTTATTATTTCTGCTGTAAATACTTTCCTAAACTGAAGGGCAACAAGGGTTTCTGCTGTTTCTTTCAGGTCTGTTATCACTAAGTTATCTTCATCTGTCAAGGTAATTGGGGTCGTATTTGAATTGATTGCAAGTTTAATGTACGAGAAAAAATATCCATTTCCTCTGTCCAAAAGTTTTCTTTCATACTGTTTTTGTGTTTCTTTCAAATGGTTTTTTAATTCATTAGGTACTATATCTTCTGTAGTCTTGATATGCTTCTTCTGTATTAACTCTGTTGTATTTGTCCCATAACTGTCTATTTCTTTTAATTTTTTTAAATGTCATCTCGTTATTCCATGGCTTTTGTTTGGGAGTTGGTTGTTATTTTTCTTAATGGAATATATCTGTTAATAATGCCCGAAATTGCATCTATGAAGTTGTTAAGGTTTTCTGAAAAATTTGTTTGCGACATCTGCTCGTTTATTGTACTGCATGTATAACAACATGATCGCTGATACCTACTGGTGGAAGTGAAGTGACGAGACGCTTGAAAACAGTTCTTTATCACCCGTGAACGACAGATCCAATATTGAAGATTGATTATATCTAAATCTGGTTTTGAAATTAACAATCTGCTTCAAGCCAGTATTTCTGTAAAAATCTATAAATGTTTCTTAACCTTGATTATTACTGACATACATCATGTAAGTGCGTTGCAGTTATTGAAAGGATAATTAAAATCTCCTAATTATCTTATGATGTGTTAGATAGTCAATCAATTCCTGGTTTTTCACCAACGAAATATCTGGGAGGCCTATAGACATTTTCTAACACTTTTCCTTTACAATCCAGATGGGTACCTGTATCTGGGTCTAATAGTTTTTTTTTTAATGTTTGCACAACTTCTGCAATTTTCTCTAAAATATTTTTTACATTTGTTAAATTTTTGCTTTTTTTTAACTTTGTTATTGTTCAATGACCTATGTAATATAATGCATTCACATATTTACCGAAAAAAATGTCACTATTTCGACACAAATTTCAACAACTTGTTATCGTTTTTTCGACAGCAGGTGCGTCGAAGACCGTGACGTCGCCGTCGCGACGAAGATCACCGCAAAATCGCATCGGCGACTTTGCGCACGCGCAGCTTAAGGACACCTCACCCACCGGACCTAAGCCCGATGGATCGTCGCATTCGTCGTTTTTCACGTCGCTGGTTTCGCCGCGTACCGTTAATCAGAACATGGAAAGTGAGCGAAACAACAACAACAACAAAAGAAATAACGCGATCGTACCAACTGCCGAGAAAAAGATGGAAGTCCAAGCTGCTACTAAGATCCAGGCTGGATTTAGGGGATATCAAGTCAGGAAACAATTAAAAGCGAAGGTAAGGAATGTTTAATTTTTTTTTTGCTGCTTGTAATATACTGAATTAAATAATTGTTGTGGTGGTTTTAATATCAGTACAATTTTTGTTGAAACGCTTTTTGGGAAAAATCTAGTTTTATGCATTAACATATTATATAAAACTGAATACACAGTGAAACAAATTTTGTTTTCGTATACATTTTTTAGTCAGCCCTCTTTTTCACGCGACCTGAATGCGTGAAAGAAGTGAGAAATTTTCTTATTTTATTCTTCCATTTTCAATGATTCTGTTCGTTGAAAAGTTGCTTGGGAGTAAAAAATGTACCTACTACATTTAATTAAGTGTCAGTTTGTAAATATTTTCAAAAATATGCCTAATCGCACATCCAGCAACATTTTTATTTCATAATTTTGATGTTTTTTGTACTTTAATTTTTTATTCCCGTACCCGCACCGCGTTTCAAGATGAGAATAAGCCGCATGAATTTGCACCTACCTGGAAGGAAATTGCAACAAAATTACAATTGTTTTCTTCATTTTTACTTATATAAATTATTTCATTAGCAAAATCAAATTCCTTACATATCAGACATAGAAACTTGGGCTCCTAGAAAATTCTACATATTATGCAATACATTTCTTACTTTAATAGAATTTTAGAAAAGCTTGTTTTTAAATTTAAAATCATAGGGTTTGATTTATTGGGTTCAAAATATTTTTAAAAATAATTACAATTCTCGCCTGTTTTCTTTGGAACTGTTTTACAAACATATCAAAACGAACTTTTCAACTTTGCAATGAATGCGCCATTGTTTTGTTAGTGTAATTATACACTTGCGTTTTTGGAATGTTAAATCATTTATAATTTAAGTGTGTTAAATGGAATGAAAAATAGAAATATTTTAAGGCATCCGGATGTTTTAGCTGTTTTAATCCAGAAAATTTAATAGAATCGAATTTTGCGATTTGCTCAATCCTCCAAATTTGGCTTTTATACATTTTTTTGAATTCAAATTCTAGAAATACAGAAAAGAAGGTTTCTCTTCTGCGAAAATTGGAATGCAATTTTTATATTTTCGAACAAACTTAAGGAATGCGATTCAGAATTCAGTTTGGCACCTAAGAAAAGTAGAAATCCGTTAGTACATTTTCACTTTTTTGCTTTGAATTTTGGAGCTTTTCCTGAACTCATTTTATTTACCGTCAAATTAGATAGGTTCTCTCTTTCCAGGTAAAGTAGAATCTTTGGAACATTTTGTAGTACAGAATCGATATTTAGTGAATATCCAATATCCATGCGACATTTTTCAAATGTATCAGGAATATTTTTTGATAGTTTGAAGATGTTTTTTGAATATCATTATTGAAGACAAAAAAAATGCGGATTTGAAAACGATTTTACTTATTAAAAATATTTTTATCTGTACCTACATAAATATGATATTTTCATCCTTTGGAAACATCAACACAATCCAGGACACAATACCTACTCGTGGCCAGAATTCTTTCATAAATGTTAACAACCAGGAGATATCAATTTCAAGCACTATACAGGGTGTTTTCTAATTGAATGTCAATATGTATTCAAGGAGGAGATTTATGGGTCTATTTTAAGAAAGAACCTTTACATGAATATACGTCTTAACTTTTGAAATACATAGTGAAAAAGATTTCAAAAATAAATCAATTATTATTGATATTTGTAATGCCACTTTAGTTATTTTAACGAAATTCGGTATACATGTACCTACTATGTATCACAGTTGCGCATCCATCCAGGTTTTTTGTTTGGGAGTGGGGTTGCATAATGATATAAATGGAAAGCTTGTTGGTATTGACCAAAAACGCAAAAAAAAATTGCTGGAAAATTCTTTGTATCAGTGCTAAATTTCGGAGGGAGGTATTAACCCCAAACCCTTGAGTGCGTCACTGGCTAAGAGTGATTTTGTGTATGTATACATACGCCTTCCTTTTGGTTTAAAAAATGCCCCTGCCAGATACAATTTGAAGCCTCATATCTTGAAAACCGCTTGAGATATTGGTTTCAAACCTTTTCTTTCTTGAAAAGCATTCAATTCTGATTGAAAAATGTCAATTTTATTAGGAAATTTGAGAAATTCCATTGAGCTAAGAGTGATTTTGTGTATAAACACATATACCTTTTGGTTTAAAAAATGTCCCTGCCTTTGAAGCCTCATATCTTGAAAACCCCTGAGATATCGGTTTGAAACTTGTTCTATCTTGAATCTGTTCAATTCTGATTCGAAACTGTTTATTTTAGCATAAAATTTGAGCTAAGAGTGATTTTGTATATGCCCACGTATGCTTTTTGGTTTAAAAAATGCCCCTGCCACATACACTTTGAAATCTCAAATCTCGAAAACCGCTTACGATATCGATTTCAAACCTGTTCTGTGTTGAAGAACATTCAATTCTGATTCGCAATTGTTTATTTTAGTATAAATTTAAGAAATATTTATTGAGCTAGGAGTGATTTTGTGTATACACACGTATGTTTTGGTTTAAAAAATGTCCCTGCCACATACAATTTGAAGCCTTATGAAAATCGCTTGAGATATCGATTTCAAACCTATTCTATCTTGAAAATCATTCAATTCTGATTCGAAACCGTCAATTTTAGTATAAAATTCGAGAAATATTTATGGAGCTAAGACTAAGAGTGATTTTGTGTACTTATACACACGTATTCCTTTTGGTTTAAAAGATGCCCCTGTTATATACAATTTCAAGCCTCATATCTTGAAAACCACTTGACATATTTGTTTCAAACCTGTTCTATCTTGAAGAGCATTCAATTCTAATTCGAAATTGTTAATTTAAGTATAAAATTTGAGAAATATTCATTGAGCTAAAAGTGATTTTGGGAATACCCACGTATTTCTTTTGGTTAAAAAAATGCTCTTGCCACATACACTTTGAAGCCTCACATCTCGAAAACTGCTTAAGATATAGATTTAAAACCTATTCCATCTTGAAGACCATTCAATTCTGATTCGAAATTGTTAATTTTAGTGTAAAATTTGAGAAATATCCATTAATTTAAGTAATTTTGTTCATACACACGTATGCCTTTTGGTTTAAAAAATTACCCTACCACGTACACTTTGAAGTCTCATATTTCGAAAACCGCTTAAGATATCGATTTTAAACCTGTTCTATTTTGAAGAGCATTCAATTCTGATTCGAAACTGTTACTTTAGTATAAAATTTGAGAAATAGTCATTGAGTTATATCAAAAGGCATTTTTTGATGTAGGTACCACTTTTTTTTTCAAATTCCCACCAGTGGCGTTCTTACGGAATTTGATCTGTCTATTTTGGCAGACATTGATGGTACGCCATAGATTTTTCCCAAAATAAAAATTATTTTTGAAATCCCCAATCATTTCTAAGCAAAGTTGATCACTTGATTTTTTACAACCCGACGCACGGTTTTCACCTAAAAAAATTAGATCTATTTCTCTGCATGGTGCGAGTCATATTAACGATATTGTTATGATCATGCGAAAACCGTTATATCTGAGTTGCCTACATTGAAGATTAAGTTCAAAATGTGCCTATTCCAGGCTCTTGAATCGTCTTGCTACACAATGAAGTCAATTAGTTTGAGTTTGTAGTTTCTGAGCTATAAAATTTTGACTTCCAGTTTTCCCTATTCTTGGTTCTTGAGTAATCCCGTCATGTCAATCATGTCAAAATCAATAAATTGATTCAGAGTTATTTCTGAGTCGCTTTCATTGAAGTTTGTTTAAAATTTGCCTATTCCCGGCTCTTGAATCGCCTTGTTACACAATGAAGTCAATTAGTTTGAGTTTGTAGTTTCTGAGCTATAAAATGTTGACTTCAAGCTTCGCTTATTCCTGGCCCTTGAGTAATCTCGATATCAAAGTCAATTAGTAATTCAAAATTATTTCTGAGTCGCCTACATTGAAGTTTAATTTCAAGATTTACCTATTCAAGGCTCTTGAATCGTCTTGCTACACAATGCAGTCAATTACTTTGAGTTTGCAGTTTGCTTCTTGAGTAACTTTGATGTCAAATTCAATATATTGATTCTCTGATTCGCCTACATTGAAGCTTAAGTTCAAAACTTGCCGATTCCCGGCTTTTCACCATCCGCTGTGAAAAACTGAGTGATCAACTTTGCTTAGAAGCGATTGGTATTTCAGGAATAATTTTTATTTTAAAAGAAATCAGTGGCGTAAGTACCATCAATTTCTGTCACAATAGGCAGGTCTAATTCCGTACGAAAACCACTGGTGGAAATTAGGAAAAATATAAAATACCTCATGACACAGAACTTAGGCCTTTTCGGAAACACTGATCCGATTAACCCGATCACCAGCTGTTTGTATTTTATCTTCCTTCAATAAATACGATTGAAAAAAGACAAAGGATATCAGCTGGTGATCCGGTTAATCGGATCAGCGTTTCCGAAAAGGCCTAGTATCTACTATATCAAATGTCATTAAAGTGGTGTTACAGATATTAATATTAAATGATTTATTTTCGAAATCTTTATCACCTTGTATCTCAAAAGTTAAGACGTTTAGGACATACGTTCATATGAAGTTTTCTTCTTAAAATAAACCCAAAAATTGTCCCCTTGAATATTGACATTCAATTGGAAAAGACCCTGTATATGGCCATAAATAATGTTAACGAATTGATTCCCGAATATTCCAAATGAAATGATGTTTGTTAAGGGTTTTTTGGTGATTTGCTAATATTTATAATTATATTTTTGACTTGTTGTTCAGACAAAAAAAATTTCAAAAGATAACCAATTAGCTACAACTACAAGGAGCAAACCACCTAGGAATTTTCCAAATATGTGGGGAGTTTAGAGGAATTTGTCGGAAATTTGAAGGAACTTTTCGGAAATTGGAGGCATTTATAGGGAATTTGGAGGAATTTATGCGGAATTTGTAAGGAATTTATGAGGAATTCAAAGGAAATTGTAGGGTAATTACGTCATGACGTCACTGAGGTTCACATT